TTGGGCTCTGATGATCTAAGTAGTGTATTGGGCTCTGATGATCTAAGTAGTGTATTGGGCTCTGATGAGGCCTGCTCACTTCGGGTGATCCTGATGCTTTTGAAATAACAGTGATCTAGCTTCCAGCATCACAACACCACACCAGCCACTGCAGCATGACAAACTAACAGATCACTCATTGCCATCTAGGTGACGCCACATCATAGTGACCAGAGTAGTAAGTGCTCACTTTGGGGAAGTTTCTGGGATTTTAACTCTTAATTGGAGCAGACAACTTCTCTTCTCTTGAGCAGCTTGTGGGTTTGAACAACCATCCTTGCAGTTAGCAGGTACCAGGGCTCCATTCTGGTAAACTCATTACCACCACAAGTGGGTTCTGACTCATGGCAACCCTATAGGGCAAGATAGAACTGCCCTCTTGGGTTTCCAAGCTTTAAATCTTTACAGGAGTAGAAAGTCTCATCCTTCTTCCATGGAATGGCTTGTTGGTTCGTAGCTCAATGCATAACACTATGCCACCAGAGTTACTTGCTGTAGAAATGGAAGTAGGTGTATACATTTGAGCTAAGCAGGTGACTGATTGATAGACCATGATAACTGACTGGATGGAGCGGGGTGGTATGAGAAGAAGGCAGGGGTCTTTGTAGATTTCCAAACTGTGACCTGCTCTGTCCTTCCTTACTTCAGTTTGACAGCTTGATGACTTTGTGGGTGTTTCAGTTTCCATATGTCTAGTTTTCAGTCTGACCAGCTGTCAGTTCTGTCATTCCATTTGTTGGGTGCACAGTGGTAAGGAAAATATGATGGGTCATTGACCTTGCAGCAGAGACATTCGATATGGGGAAGCTATTATCAAGAATTATGCTAAGCAGCTCTTCTTGTCAGCTAAGTTTTGCTAAACTGTTCATTCTGCTGTGCACTATACAATATGGCTGTCAGGCCTTGGCTATAAAAGGAAAGGTGGGGTTATTGTAAAATGGGAAAGGAAGATCTGATTAAAATTAAAAAATAAAAGCAGGATACAAGTAATAAATATGAGGATAAGTAAAAAGTACTGGTACTCGGGCTCATATGTGCATGCAATGTGTTTTAAACACATCTCTGTGATCAGTGAAGGGCTGCATGTTAGTTCTCTCAGTAATACACTTATGTTAGACCCATTAGCGCACCTTCAAAAAGGTTCTGTAAAAATAGTGACTTGCAAGGCACTCTTGTGGATCATGTACCTTCAAGACAGAGGTCAGCTCAGAAGGTTATGGCAACCGTGTTATGGGACTCTGAAGGGTTATTAACAATAAAATTTCTCAAAAGACAAAAGGTGATCACAGACTTATTACGGAGAAGTTTTAAGAAAGTAAAAACTGCCTTGGCAAAATAAAGGCTAACAAAGTTGCACCAAGGACATTCCGCCCCCCTAAGAAGACAGTATATCTATTCATTCTTTGAGGGTGGCAAAAATCCTATGACAATTTTGTTAAAAATGTTTACCCTATCGACTCTACAGCCCTGACCTTGCTCCTTCATACTTCTTTTTGTTATACAAACTCAAATAATATTTTAAAGAAGAGGCGAAACTGCTCTTTTGAAGTGGCGTAAATGGGAGAGCGTAGCTTCTCTGGAGGAGGGTTGGAGAGAAGGAAACCCTGTCTTCAGAAGGGTGATCATCTCGACCTTTACATT